CGTGCTTTTCAATGAGTATAAATATAATTTATCCTATGTGTGGCAATATTATACACTGACAGATCATTCCAAAGTAATGTTTGTAATTTAGGGGGGAATTTGTGAATGAACTGATTAATATTTTTATTTTCTGTATCCAAAGTGTAAGCATAGCTTCTCTGTGCACTTGTCAAATTACATTTTCTGTAACTTATAAACTTAAAACTTAATAATGACATAGTTCAAACAACTATATTTAATCAAATCAGTATTATACAAAATTTACCTACATTTCATTATCTTGTATCAATTTCAGCTTTCTGAAACACTTCTTGAAAGCGGAAAAGACAGTTTATCATTACATCAAAAGACATGCGGAGTTATTCGTCCGATTATGCATCGTTGTGAGAGCTGGGTGCATCGAGTCTAAAATGCAAGCATGGTATTAAAATCTTTTGAATTTTTCTTTATTATTTTTTCAAATTTTCTTTCCAAATTTTTCGTTTCGACCTGTAAGCGATAGCCGTTGGTAAATTCTTACTTGTAACTGGTTGTAATTTTTTTCACATTTATCGTTTCTACCTATTAGCGATAACCTTTGATAAATTCTTACCCGTAACTGTGTAAATTAATGTTAATAAATTCTATATCAAGCCACAATCTCAAATTACTCCGTTTACTGATTGAATGGCAATTTTGATGTTTTGATAGCACTTGTTTCATTGTTACAAACCACTTCTCCACCATAAATAAATGGACCCTAAAAGAAAGAAGGGGTTCTGCCTTCACAAAAATTGCATGGTTTGTCAAATTATGAGAAATTTTCATTACAAAAATACATCTTACATAATATAAATATATAAATATAAATCAAGTGATGCATCTCTTGGATATGACATGAATTTTATTTTCTCATTTCATTGCATTTCAAAGAGTGAATATTTTCTGCGCTATTGAACCCCTGCACAGTGCACTCAGCACCAACGTTTTTTGCGTGTTTCCATTTGTCTAATTATATTTAAATTGTAGGCTCGTTAAATGATTAACTGTTCACTAAACTAATAGGTTATAATAAATTCTGTTACGTAAAAAATATATTCTAATCTTCGAGTGTATATTGAATAATTACTTCAAACCCGCCGTTTCGTCCCTATAATTAAATGAAGCGTCGCTAGCCGGATTATTTTACTCCCGAGAAGTTGTTAAAGCTTGTATTTTTATCTTGAAGGCTATTACTCTTGGCTGTTCCTGAATTTTCTGTGAAATCTGATTTTTAATCTGAATTCGCTGTATGATATTCACTCACTAGAGTTCTCTTTACATTTTAATGAAATCGTGACAGATTGCATACCCGAACTATGGCGCTCTGGATTTCGTGTTCATGTATTCGAGCATCGCTCTCTTGTTCATTTTTGTTTGAAACCATACATATATACTCAAATTACCTTGTTGTTTCACTATTATATATCATTTTACGGAAGAAGTGTGAATTACCCACTGACAATATAAAAATCGGTTTCGCCAACCTGAAGGTAAACAATCGAGTTGTATGTTCATCGCATCAAAATTTGTAGATATATATTGCTAGATTATAAACTTTATTTTTATCATGAGATAGACGGCCAGGGCATAAACAATGGTTGCGATTCGAAGTACTGCGATATCACAAAGGACTGCATCTTTGCGTGCGAAATATATATTGATTTTGTGATAACATTCAATGTAGAAACAAAAAAAAACAGGTTGAAGCAGTGATTGTTTTATTTCTCTTTGAAAATTGTTTCTTTGACAAACAAATATATATACTGCCGATTACATATTTATGTACATGTTTCATTTTATTCTGAAACCGAAAATAACTGAAACTCAAAACTGAACAAAAAACAAAATACAGAAATTTTTTCTTTAAACCGATTCTATTTTCAGAGAAAAATTGCCACGCCCATTGCTTTGAAGTTGAACGTATAAAATTTACCATAGTCAATTACAAACAAAGATCATCTGTACAAGATTTGATTCAAAAGTGTTTCCTATTGCTATAGCAAGCACAAAGGAGGCAATAATTTTAGAATATAACCCCACACGTGATCTGACTTTATGCGACTTCAAACCTCCAGGTTTTTGGGGCTAAATTTAGACACAAGATGTCTCAATTTCAAAGTAGGCAAGTTACTCTATTGGGGGTAAACGATTATTGCCGACCTTGGAATGACAATAAGAAAAGCACCTTTTTATTCACAACAACTCCCTCGGTTAATAAAATTTTCTACTCAATCAGGCGGATTTTTTATCGATCAAGAGAGCGAGAAAACACAATTAATCGCGCGTACCCCAGAACCGGTTCACACAACACTGTTTGTGTCAAAACTCAAAAACCTTCCCAAAAAGAATGACCAGTGATGTAAAACTAGGCATGTGGGTCGATACCTGCAATGATAGGGTGCCGCATTGATTTGTGATAGACACCGCATTAGTTTGCAAACACTCTCATTGGTTGTTCATCTCATTTACTCCTTGTAGATATTTAAAACTTATTTTTATCATGAGATATACGCCCAGAGCATATACTGTGGTTACGATTCGGAGTACTGCGATACCACAAGGGTTCGAATTCTTTCGTGCAAAATATATATTTATTTTGAGATTATATTCAATGTAAAAAATACCAGGTTGGACCAGTGATTGTTTTATTTCTTTCTAAAAATTGTTTTTTTAACAAACAAATATACTGCCGACTACATATATATCTATACCGATATGTGCTATTTTATTCTAAAATCGATTTACCTAAAAGAATTCTCAAAACTGATCAAAGAACAAAATATAGAATACTTTTTCTTTCAACCAAGTTCATTGATGTATACACTAGGGGTGGCCAACACGTCGATCCCGATCGAACTGTGGAATATGCCACGTCTCGAGAAGTCGATCACGTCTAATGTTGAGTAAATTTGACAACCTTTCCCGAAAAATCGCTTTGAACCAGTTGCGTGTTTTTAAAACAGGAAGAATACAGTACTGAACATGCGCAAAATACGATATACACATACAGTATTTGAGTCTGGGCAAGTCCGAGATAGAGCATATTATTACGTAACAAATGCAAGTTTTGCCGCTGCCAAGGTTTTAAAACTGAATGCCGAACAACGCGTGTCTTGACAAACGAACGATGACGATCTACAATAACTTCTACCGTATGTGAAAGTTTTTGTCTCACTTCAAGCGTAGTGTGATAAATTTTATTCGCATTGGAATTTCCCAATTTCGAGAGAGCAAAGTTTGCACTTGGAAGAAATTGTAAATTAAATACTGACGTTTGAGCAGCCATGTAACATACATGATTATAGAATATATATTTATTGTTTGCTGTTTAGTTTAGATAATATATACATGAATACTTGGCACGTTTTCTTGAGGCAATTCCAACACTTACGACTAAAAACTCGGCAGGCCTTAGATCTGTATCGTAATATTTGAATTATTCTTAAAAATGCTGAGACATTTACTCCGGGTAAAATTGAATAATTAAATTGCCAACTTTAATGGAACATAAAAAAATTCAAATTTTTACTGCCAACTCATATAGATATGCAGCCAACCAAATATACAATATATACTTCCAAGTCATATGTATATATGGCCAACTCAATATACAAATACAGCCATTAAGGTAATGTGCAAATACTGTCAGATCATTTCATAGAAATACGATTTATGTATATATATTCGGTTGCATCTACGAATTATATGCACATTACTGGCCGTTCATATAATTACCGCATTAAAAAGCGTAGAAAACTCCAAGGCGGCCAGCGATCGATACAGTATCAGCACACCGGGGTAGGCTCCACTTACATGTTGATTGCCCACAGAAGGACATAAAACTACCAGTTTTCGTAGTACATGATAACTATACAATACGTAATAATCTATAATATCATAATACCCCACAACAGCTGGTCGTTGATAACACGAAAAATGCGCTGGCTGAAAATCTCTCTTCAGTGATCTATTCTTTGGCAATAAACTGTCCACAAACTAATCCAATTAACGCTTGGTGAAAATATAATGCATAGAACTGCCGGTGCGCGTAGTTCTTGATAAATTTTCCATCAGCGCCAATCTATGCCATGATACCCCACAGAATCTAATCGTTGATAACATGGAAAAATGTGCTGACTTAAAATCTCTCTTCAGTTCCACTGCGTTGCTGGGGTGCATTCGAACACACCCTGCTACACAATGGGGCTCTTATTAAATTCAGCAACGAGTCGGCATCACCATCTAACTCTGAGACTTCAAATTTGGAGATTTATTAATTATAAAACTAACATTCAACTGAAATGTTTTAGATTTTTTTCCCAAGGATATCCTTAAACAAATTGACAACATAAAACTACTTTGGATACATGCGTAAAGAGTCATTCTAGAATTATTCTTGAACATTTTTGATTCTTGTCATTAAATCTGTAGTAAATTTCTCATTTACTTTTGGTTTATGCCTAATTTCAATTGAAACTGAGATCGACGAACACGCCTGATGGAATAGCCCATACTCTTGCATCATATACGTATGAATTAAATATGACATTAGCATTTAGAATTTAGATGAAATATCTGGCCCTACATGGGTCTCAAATATAATTTGGTATAATGAAAGTTTTGCTAAGCCCTCACGTCCCATAAAGCTTACCAAACTTGGTTTTCAGTGTCTCTATAATTTTGTTTTCCGATATATTTTCACGGGTGTGTGACATTCGCAGAGAGTTTTTGCAAAGGCGTCTTAACACAAAAATTTGAGAACCATTGATTTACGGCATCGAAATTTCCATGTTATTATTTGTAACGAATGGTGTGTACAAAAACCTATTTCAGCATTACTACCCTGTTATTCTCATTTTAATGATATCAATTCATTTCGAAATTTACATAGTTGTAAATTCATCTTCTCTCTTTATAAAGTCGTGTAATAGGAATGGCCTGACTGAATAAACTTCTCTGGAGGTTACTAAATATAAATAAACTAGCAGCAGTAGCAGCAGAAGTCTCACAGATATAGCACGAGAAAAGTAAGCAAAGCTTATTGTCGGACTGGTATTTTTTCGAAATAAAACTCAATATGTATTAAAAATGTTTATTATTGTGCATGTTCTGCTTCTGGAGTAGTAACAAAGCATTGTTTTTTTTAAGAGGAATTGCAATTTTGGCCTGTTGTGTTTTCACTGTTTGGGGGATTCCATATCATTTCTCTGGGCCCCTCCTATATCCATTCAAAAGGGTCAATACTATGTTATGACAAATTTCGGTAGGTAGGCTACTTGAAAGAATTTAATCATTGAGTTTAGTCATTTCAGCACGCAAACCGAAAAAGGTTGCCCACTCCTGTTATAGATATATGATTATTGTTAATAGGAGGTATATGATAAAAATTCTGTATATGGAAAGCAGAAATGGAAAGTTAATACCACAAATACGCAGCAGCAATAGTAATGACCGAAACTATTAATGCGAAAGTAATGTACATTTCAGTGTACATTCCTTTCACATATGAATCATGTTTCAGGCGATGTGCAGTTATCGCTCCACCCTTGTTCTCATGCGGAAAAGGCACATCTGGTATTTCATGCCCCAAGAATTGGCAGACTGGTCCCCAGCCTTCTTTAACATTGAAAATGAGCAATTGGTCCCTGGGTGCATTCTGGAACAAAATGAATTGGAGTTGTGAACAAACGTTTTTCATATGAGTGAGCATCACTCTGCTGTGGTGTTGGCGTATCAGTTAAGCACTTCGATTTTGTGCATATCTACCTTTCTATTAATGCAAAGACTGTAGATTCAGGTGAATACGATAAACTACATTAAAAATAGCGCGAATTGCTTATTTCTGCATGATTTCACTACGATGCAATCAATTGTTATTAGTCGAACCCCACGCAACAATGTCATGTGTGATAAAGGACTAAAAGAAAGAGTGAAGTGAACCATGCGTTGTTAGTGACGCAAATCGCCGAAGTTTACACTACTTTTGCGATTTTAGAGTTCCCCATTTAATTGAAAGGCTGCCGTCAACATTGGCAATCAATTTGAACTGAAGAACAATGAACAATGTGTTTTTATATCATCCCAAATACTAAAAAATAATAGGAACCGAACCTCGTGGGACCCCGTGAGTCACTGGTAAGTAAAGGGAATTATTGTTTCTATTTGAACATACTGTGATCTGCCGCCTAAATTACTAGTACTGAGTTTATATGCAAGTACTTGTAAACTTGTAAATCAGGATATGTCGAAATATATACTATGTCGAAAGCTTTCTTTAAATAAAATAAGCACTAACAAACTATTTTTCTATCTATCCTATAGAGTATAGATAGTACAAATTAAGGCGCTCCTGAAGTATGTGTACCAAGATGGCACACAACACATACTATGTTCAGGTTGTGCGCCATCTTGGTGCACATACTTCTGGAGTACCCAAATTAAATCACATTTACCTCTATGACATCGTTATTGTGGTCTTCGTAATATTTTGCATACTGATCTTGATCCAAAATGGGAAATTTTTTACATATTTCAAATCCAGTGATCTCGGAAGGTGGTTTGCAGAATTTTGCAACTGAAAAAAAAAAACTTTCGGAGTCACTTCACTGAGTGTACCCAAGAAGTTCGTAAAGTAAAATGTCAACTGTTGACGCTCTGGTAACACATTTAATCAATATTGATTGATCCATGAATGATAAGTCTCTAAACATGAATCTGGAATGATTAATGATCTATCTACCTACAGTAACATTTTCCTCAAAATTTATTGTTGATTTTCAGCCCTCTTTCCAAAGACCACTACGAGCTATCCGTAGAATTAACTCGGCATTGACCACATCTGCAAAAATGTCCAGCACCCTTGGAGGTAAACACAGGCAGACTTCCATATATTTTGCGTAACTAAAAACTCACCAGATTTCCTTTCTAGGTCAAACCACCGTCTTGCTTTCATTGAAAAGACGGAAAGTGGGAATGAAAAAGCAGATTCATTGTACTTGGTATACTGGTTGATGAAAGACTTTGCACATTTGTATTTATCGTCGTGCATAGTGAGAATCAACTGAAAAATAAATAATCGATTCATCATATTATGCTTGAGAGCGACTATCATGGCCAATTATCCATTATCACAATATGATGTTCATACATTTATTCAACCATACCTACTCTCGAATACTGTGAAATGCAAATTGGAGGTATATGAAAATTGCATAGATAAATAAAACTTTCCACTTCTGACCTTAATATCAGGAAAAGCCTTGAGAAACTCTTTCCAATAAGCTATAGCAAAAGTGTCACTTGTTGCGTCATAACCTTCAAACATTTGGTGTAAATTTTCAAAGTTTCCTTTTCCTTCCAGAAATTCCATCCATTCTTCATATAACTCCTCGAAGTGTCTTCCATGTTCTGATACATTGTAACCCAGAATTCTCAATGCTTGGCACATACTTTTGGTTCCGGTTTTCAAGAAACCAACAATTAGTATCTTCATCTTGCAACGACCGAAGATGTTAGTTGTTATAAATAGGTAGAGATGACAACACCTAATCAAATATCAGTTGCTGTAAATGTAACATTTGATTGTGACCAGGTGAATGGAATGCTGATAAATAACAATATATGTTCACGCCGGTAATCGGATTCTACGCGGAATTACAGCAAAGAATTTCTAGTACTTATCGATACCAATGCGGTTGCCAGTCACTGCTAACATCAGAAAGATGCTTTTTGAATGAAAATTCCTTCGCATTTAATCCACTACCCAAATTGTACGCTCATTCACCCAAAGCCCGTCGTCTAGCTAGTAGAGTCATTGAGTAGGCCAACACCGAAGGTTATAAACATTTGATAAAATTTAAAACATGTAGAAATACTCGTGCCAGTTTTGCCAAATTGCACGAACAAATATATAATATGCCAATATAAACAACATATTATGAAAATAAAATACGTTGAGACAATGAGCTCCAATTTAAAACTGTTTAGCGGACATGATCGAACTGTGTTTACCTCGCGATTTGTTTACATCCACCGCATTGACAGCGAACTAATCAATAACTTGATTGAAGTAATAATGCGGTTTGATCTAGCCTATAAAATTAAAATAACATTGAATAGCTACTGTCGACGTTTAGACTTCTCTGTAGTTGTATTAGAAAAGAATTTGGAGTTCATTATACAACGCGATCAGCTAACTTAAAAAATTTCATAACCGGTCTGATATATGCCATTCCTCGTGAAGTGGAGGCTCGACGAAGAAAAGGTAGATTCTTTTAAAAAAGATTGCTTTAAAACCAGAAAAACTCAAACGAAGTACTCTGATAACAAACGCGGAAGATACATCCGATTCACCAAAAGCACAAAAAAGATCAGCTGGAGATTAAACTGCCTCAGCAATAAGCAAAATAACCAAAGAGTTGCAAAGACTGACATCAAATACAAACGAACAAAATAGCCAGATAAAATCCCCCAAAAATAGACCCGAAAATAAAAAACATCCTCAAACTAGTAAAAGTATTCCAAGCTCCAGTCAAGAAATAAATAGGATGAGAATCATGGGAATTTCTGAAATTAAAAATCACCTTACAAAAAGTAACAAATCAGAAGAATCCAAAAGCAAAAACGAACAATGAAAAGGGTTGTAGATAAAAAATTCACAATATTTCAACTTTAAAGGCCAATGTAATAGAGAATAAAACCGATGATACGATAATTGACTCCACATCACCTTTGTAATTTGATTATAGTAGCAATACTGCAGATAATGTCAGTCTTATGGACAACGATAGAGATATTTTTCTCACATGAGACTCACAAATGGCACACGGAGAAAACAATAAAAAATTTGGAAAAGATCTTACTCTGGTGATACTTTTGAACAAATGATCCTAGAGATATAAATGGAACAGCGGAAGAATGAAAAAATGACATAACAAAAACTGACGAGGAAATTAAAGAAGACATAACAGAAATAATATATAAAGCACATGAATTTAGTGATATGATATATATTTATATGTAGCAACAATTCATGGAAAAGGGTCTGGAAAATATGGATTCGACCGAATGAATGAGCTACTCGGAAATGAAGTGATTAAACAAGGAGCAGTATATCAATTTCACCAAACAATCAGAAATTAGATTTAGAACTGGAGAAGAGTTATACAGTGCTTGGACATTGAAAACGTCCCCTGGTTTGGATGGCTTCAAGTGTGAACTGTATTTAAAAGTTTGGAACTGTTTGCGCCCGATTCTGGGTTTTTGTCTAACAAAATTTTCGTGGAACAAGGACAACCGTAAGACAAGGTTGTTCACTCGCTCCTATATTATATCTAATAATGGTTGAATTGTTGGCGTATAATATTTGACGCAATAGTAGAATTATACGACACCATATTGACAGTAGAAAATTTAGAATCATTAGATTGGAATTAATGAGGATTTTTTAAAAGACTACAGGTTTTTTTTACTCAAAACGTCTCTCTGGTATCTCTGATAAACATTCCTATTAAAATCTCATGACTTTGGTGTAGATAAAAACGTAGCGATAAATAGACGAAAAAGAAAAAAAATTTTAATTACATTTTTGAAATTATAATTAAACATAATAATAAAACAAAAAATACAGAAAAAATTGATTCGAAAAAAGCCCTTGTTTTAAAACACGATGTTTTTTTAGAATTCATAAAAACAAAACCCTAAATTTACCCACTGCTAACTGCAAAGTTTGGTATCCACCGCTCTGAGTTCGGCCAGATAAAAATTATGTTCCGCTTACTACTGTAGCAGTAGCACGACAAACGAACAGCCTTGAGATCAATTTGTGGGTACCAAATTTTGCTAAAACCGTCAAGATGCTTTTTAGGGAATTTTTCATCACGGACGCACCTACTGAGATCTATGTAATGCTTGGAGAACTAAGGACAACGGATTGTAATTTCTCATTTAATTTTTTCTTTCATTTTTAAGGCGAGGCTCACGACCCTAGATGAAAACAAACTCACGTAAAATACAAGTAAACTCAATGTTCATTCATCCATAGTCTAAACTCTAAACAATACAGAACTATGCTCCTTCCACTATTTCCACTAGGCTTACACTATTTCATCTGTCGAAGTTGTGAAAGTTTGGTGTGTCAAAATCGTGACACGCGTGACAAACTTCAACCAATCAATTGTTTTATTTTGTCCTCTGACATAAACAACTAAAAAAGTAAACTGACAAACAGAATGCAGAATTACCTGGGAATTGAGCATAACTTAGAATAAACTTAAAAACGTGTAAAACGCGCACATCGCAACTAAAAACAATTCAAACAGATTGGATATTGTTGCGGGTTGCAAAAAACAGTGTACGACTTATACCCTATGCCCTTGCCATTGAGATGACAACACAAAGCATCATAATACGTTTAGAATTATGTCACGCATTGTTTCGGTAGCAATTTTTTCCCATTTAAAATGTATACAATTGAGATGACAGTATAGGGACTATTGATCCTATCTGCGTGTTTGGCCCGCCTGTTATTAGGTTGACACACACCTATTTGAGCAAATTCCGATTGATCCGAAAACAGATAACAAATTACACTTACAACCTACAGTATGAAACTAAATTTCTAACTAACAAAGAACGATAAACACGAGCAACACTAAGCGAGAGAAAATATATCATAAAGGCAATGAATTAGAGCTGTGGTTCTCAAACAGCCCTTCTTTTGCGGATTTGTACCTGCGGTGCGTAGAAAAAGTCAAAACTTTTCGTTATTCTCGTTTGAATCATACTTGAGAACTGGAAATGACCATATATTAATTATTGTAACGACCGATCTTATCTATATGTGACTTGCCAAACATCACAGAACATTCAATACTGTTTCAATTATGACATCACACAGGCTGGATCAGATCGAGTCATGCATGCCGTTCATTTCTAATTCTTTCATATACATGGGAACATCAAGCGTTCTTCAGCACTTCGTCTGCGCGTTAACCTAAGCATATATTTAATATTGACACCACAGCAGTTCTCTTCAGGCATAATTTAAATAAAACTCATTGTAAAAGAGGTCTCTTATTGGAAGGTATCCAGACATTTTTCACGGGGAGTCGCAGCTTGGCCATATTTTTTGGAGAGCGTCGCAATACCAAGAAGTTTGAAAACCACTGAATTAGAGCAACGGCCTTGTTTCAGGCGAATAACATGCACTATTAACAATATGGTGAAAATATTGAAACATACAGTAACTATCCTTATGTACTCGCTACAAGAGCATCAGTAATGAAAATCTTGACACGGACTAGTTTAACGAATTGTTTTGCTAAATTGTTGTTTTTCCAGTTGTTGAGAAAAACCGCGTTTACCCACATTTGTTTCGAGGATGGAAGGAGTCGATTAAAAGCGGCTAATACTTTTATTAGTTTCCATTTTTTTTGAGTCCTGCTGGGCCCGATAGTATTGTGAAGCACACTCGAGGTTCGAAAAAGAAAGGCTATGGCAATTTTTAAATTTCGCAATCTTCACAAAAATCATATTTTAATCCAGGGGAGGTTGCTACGCTACCCGCGAGGGGAAATGTAAAAAAATATGTTCAGAAGGTAAAAAGCAGATGTTTGTTTGGGGTTCGTTGGAGGGCCCGGGTCGTTGCACCGTACGAATGGCGGCATTCATCCGCCGCGGCGCCCCCGACCTCTTCAGTTCATTAAATAGTTTAAATACCAGGTCATAAACTGATCACCTCTAATAAGGATCGATTTTTATCACTTTTAAGGTCCGTGATCACTCAACCGTGACGAAATGTTTTGGTCCTTAACTTCACTTTAATTACCTTGTATACCCCAAATATGACATCTCTATCTATTACCAAGTTTCGTCCGGATCGGCCTGCCAGTTCTCTGGGAAATGGTCTATCTCACAGAACTGTCGCTTGTTCCTAAGCTATTTCCATTACGACTTTCGCGCAAGGAATTTTAACTCTAATTGTGCTTTCGCACTAAAGTGCTCTCGATTGCCTAACCATCAAGACTCATTTTAACTTTGAAGCGCATAACTTCGGATGAAAATCCCTAACCGCCATATCTTATAAAATAAAATACGACGTATTTTACATTTTTTTAATATAAAACTCAGACACGTCGTTTTTATAGCAAGCATGAGGGATGAAAAGTACTAAATAAAGTTTCTACTGAGCAAATTGTGCACAGTTTCATCGTGCGAAAAAGTCATTCATTCAGAACAGGACAAAAATGGACAAGACAAGAGTGTGTAGTACCAGAGACACCTATTTCAAAGTCGTTTCGCTCGGTGATTGAATATTCCGTCTCAAACCAGCTTTTGCTTCAAGTTTCTAATCTACCTAGTTCGCTTATTTCACTGTTCTGTTGCAAACCTTATATTTTATTTCTTTTATGGCTGTCTTGTTGCTTTTAACTGAAGAGTTAGGAATTTCGATTTCCTCGAGAATCAAATCGGGTCGCAGCATCTCAGCTGTTCTGGCGGCGTGCTCTCGACGAACTACGTCTACATAGGGTCTAAAAAACGTGGCTGAGGTTGGTGAGCCAAGATCTCCTTCTGCACCGAATATA